TTGAGTTGTCATAGCTGGCTGCCCGGCTGGCTGGTTGTATTCTGCTCCTTTCCCTCTGTGCTCTGTGCTCTGTGCTGTCCTGTGCCCCAGGCCCCCGTGTCCCCGAGCTCTCCTCTATCGCCGAGCTGCATGCTGACCACACAACTTCATAAATCAGTCGACAGAACCGCATCGAACGTTGGCGTTTTGATGACCTTATTACTTGTCATCCAGCAGTCGCAATTCCAGGAGCTAAGCAATGGTAAATATTTAAACGATGCACCGTGGTTCAGAGTTCGTATTATTAGGGAAGAAATTGCATTAGCTGCTTGTGGAATCATTTATCGAGAACAGGAGTAAATAATGGCGGAACTAAGCTTTCAATTATCTAGTTCTTTGAATCAGTTTTGAATCTAGATGCCGAAAAGCTAAAACTGCCCCGAGAGAATGCCTTTAAAATCTGTACATACATATGTACATATGTAAGAAATCGCTGCATACATATCCAATGTACATACATAATACATAAATATGTACATATCTTGTGCATGCAAAATTGTGTTTGATTGAATAACGAATAACCGATGGTCCACTGTGCCAGTCAGGTGCAGAAGCTGGCTGGTCCTTGATTTGGTTTGCTTCGAGCGGAAGCACTGGAGCGGAGCTCACCTGGTTGCGTTTGGCTTCAGAATCGAATCACGCGCCTTCCGCATAGCAAATATTTGCCCACTGGCGATATTTCATTTGCCTGGCCCAACTCCGAGGCGGCCAACTCATAAATCTTCGCGGGGACGTACCAGTCGATGGGCAAACGAATGTAATCGGGGAAAGTTTCTCTTTTCCTTGTGGGTTGCAGTACCTGAAATTTACGGCCACTCCCTTCTAGGTAACCATTGAGGCAATCGTTAGACTGACAAACAGACATCAACATCACATCGAGCATGGCCAGGAGCGAGGAGCGAGGAGCGGGCAGAGCGGAAGTAAATGGAAATCAATATTTTCATCAGAATGAAAAATGACCTGGACTGGGGGCCGCAGAAGTGTTCCGGCGTCCATAAACCACCTGAAGACTCCGTAAACCAAGTGGCCATCTCTCGGGGCCATTGCCTGTGAAGGAACCAGCTTATGTTTATTGTATTCCAGTGATTAGCGAAAATAATTCGGGGAGCTTCGAGGAGAATATGCAAACGTCGCATAATTGATTAAACACGCCAAACGAACGACTTAATCAAGGGAGCGTGCAACGTGGCGTATAAGCAATGTGAGCAAAAAGTGTCTACGAGAATCTTTGAGGCGGATGGCACGCCAATGAAGCCTGCGATGATGTGATGAGCAGGGGCGTCAGATACACAACAGGAAAAACACAAAGACACCAATCAGCAGACAAAAACAACGAAGGCCATGAAATCGCAAGTGGGAAGGGAAAGCAGATAAAGTTAGAACCTTAATAGAGGTAGAAGATAAGCTCGGCAGAAAGGTACATGGATTTAGGGATGAGGTCTGTGGAGAATTAATACTGAGATAATTAAACGCATACCGAATTGGCCAGAGTACCATTCCTTTTTACGGATTCAAATGGAACCTATCGAATAAATTGTGCTGATATTTTCATTGAATCTAGCCGAAAGCCCTTCGATCTCTCTTTTAGTGTATCCGAGATTTGTCATATTGACTGTATCCGTTTCTAGATTGTCTTGAGCACACTTTGGTTGCTTTTGTTTTGTTGTTGCGGCGGGTGTTGCGACTCGTATTGTTCTTCCTGGGGGGCCCGACAAGAGGGAGGGCGACACACTCAGCTACGTGACACTGACATGGATTTTCAAGATGTTTGTCGTCGTGTGCCTTTCGTTGCGTGCCTGCGGATGTCCTTAGGGGCACACATTCGTACGGGGAGCCGTCTGTTGCCTATCCGGGGAGCTCTCCACCCGTTCATTTGGCATGTTCGTGCCCCAAGTTCTACTTGCACTTTGTCAATTCGTAAATCTTTTTAGACGCCATTCTTTTAAGCGAGTTTAGCCGCCGAGTTTAGTCCCGTGGCATCATCAAAGGCCGAGAACACACACACAAAGTTTTCAGAACTAAGCTCGAACCAATGCTGGATCCGCAACACGGAGGAGCTTGAGGCATTGACGATGGCAGCTGTGGCAGTGGCAGTGCTTTCCGTCCAACCAGTTAACAATTGTGCGAGTTAACTTTGATGAATTCAATTATTCGAGCACAACAAACTCCCGGCTCTGTCGACTCCATCGTCCTGTCTCTCTCACCGCGCACGTGTTTGTCTTGGCCCCCTTGTTCTGGCAGGAAAAGAAATTCCCACACGTCTCGCTCCTTCAGAGTCGTCTCAATCGGTAAAGTGGATTTATTTCGGCGAAATCGAAAGTTGATTCCCCCTCTGTACGAGTTTATTTGTGTGTCACTGTGCCAGGACCCTGCTGAGCCCTTTGCCATTCGCCTTTTACTAGGTCCCGTGTGTTCCGGAGCAACATTAAAGGATTTATCAATTTGCGCAATGGAACTTTCGGAAGTCAAACAGGTTACAGATATTCGTTTGTGCCTGTTTATACGACTAGTTGTTCGGAAACGCAGCCCCAGTGATTGATTAAATTGTTTCTTAGCTTTCGGGCCCTCAAGGTATTCAAGAGCAAATACAAAACAAATTTGTTAAAGCCAAATTGACAGGGGAAGTGGTTGTAATGTGGATTGCTTACGCCAAATCCTTCAAGAGCTTAGACAAAATTTCCATAACTTAATTTCTACGTATCTGTTTGAATCCATATTTAACTTAAGCCCTTCCTAAGCTCTTTTGATAGCCGAAATAAGCCCCTTAAAAGCCATAATCTCTCCCGATCCATTTCACTAAGGACTCGTCAAGCTCATAGTATCAAAAATGGCCATAAACAAGCGAAATGCGAAATGCAAAATGCGAAAAGTGCAAATGCAAATTGCTTTCTGTGGTTGGGAAACAGAACGGGAGTCGAGGACAGCTCTCAGTCTTTATGGAGGGCCACAAACCACAGAAGCCGGAGCAAAACTGGGACGAAAGCCATGGGTTGGACTGTTTGCAGTTCCCTGGTCAACATATTATGCTTTATAAACAACGAAAATCGCAAAATTCGTAAATGGAAATGCTTCTCGGTTTACGATTATGATCAGGGATGCCAGGATTCAAGAAATGCAAATGGCAGAATGCAATTTCAAATTGGTCGCAAACAATACAAATATTAAAAGGCAAATCAGAAAAGAAAAAACCTCCTGAATTGCAATTAAACGATTGCATGCATACTCGTATATGGAAATGCAAATGTATTGCATAATGCTCAATTGCCGGAATCCCCGGATCCGTGGATCCATGAGAAATGAAATTACAAAATGTAACCATCAACAGCAAACAGCAACAGAAACAGAGGCAGATCCAGCAACAACAATGGCAGCGACCGTAACAATAACCAGAAGGGACGTGTGAGACGCTTCTTACGAGTCACAACTTTTATACCCGGTACTCAGTACTACATCTGTACCTTAGCGGTTTTTTGTCAAATTTTACAATTTCTTCACCGGGTGGGTTTAGCCACTGCAAATAAATTTATTTATTCTGGCTATAACAATGATCCTACGGACAGACAGACATGGCACAATCGACTCGGCTATTGATGCTGATCATGTATATATATACTTTATGGGATCGGAAACGTTTACTTCTGTGCGTTACATATATCCACTTTGTGCACAAATACAATATACACTATTTACTCTTCGAGTACCGGATATAAAAATGATCCAAAGAGAGCCAGGGAATGGAGGGTGAGAGCCAATTTAATCACGTTAATTCAAAACTGCCTTTGCGCGCACCCACCCTCACTTATCGAGAGGTGCAAGTGTAAGAAGAATTGTTTTTGGTTTATTTCGAGAGTGTAAAGCCATAGGGTACGGTAATAAACAAAAACAAAATAACTAAAGGAAAAAAATTATCGTCATTGAGAAAATTATACGAGCTCTTGCGAAAAAAAAAGAATAAACTGTAAAGAAAACGTAAATAAACAATTTTCACTTGCCTTTTACATTCATCTTTCCTCGTGAAGCACTTATTGTCCTCTTCACACACATGCATACGTAACCCGCACGACGATACGACGAAACGAACGAAACGAAATAAATGTAACGGGATCGAGCGAGAGATTCTAATAAGAGCATAGATTTTGGGCACATTAATTTAAGGTGAGGCATTGGGACGGAAGTTCGTACGCACACACTCAACGAGAGAGAGTCAGACTGGGTTGCCTCACCCTATTAGGAGACACTTGAAAGAGAGCGCAGACACTCGCTCTTTGCTTTTTGCGCCTCTTCTTTTTTCTTGCGCTTTTATATGATTGCCTGGTAAAGGGAGGGGACAACTTCACGCCTTCTTTGGCACATTTTCACACACACATATGGCAAGCCCTTGGTGCAAATTTAAAACATTTTTGCTCTATGTACGTAAATACATTTGTACGCAAAATAATACACTTTTAACACTTCACTTTCACATATTTCCAACGCCGATCTGCTTTTAGCCTCGTTGTGCTCCTCCGCATTTAATCTCGCATTTTTTGCCCATTAAATGCTCAACCATTTCACCATATTTCACTGCACTTCACTTTCACATATTGTCACATATTTCGCAAATGATTTCGCATTTTTTGTCCACAAAATGTTCAACCATTGCACCACATTTTATTTCACTTCACTAACACACACTTCACTTTCACATATTGCCGCATATTTCCAACGCCGATCTGCTTTTAGCCTCGTTGTGCTCCTCCGCATTTGATCTTGCATTTTTTGCCCTTTAAATGCTCAACCATTTCACTACACTTCACTAACACACACTTGTTGTTGTACACTGCACATTACTAAACAGCTGCACGATACTTTTTCCCTTTTAGTTTCCCGAATTTTCCTGATTTTATCCTATATACCCGAATCCGTACCGGACCGAACGCGTTGACAAATTTTTAACTAATGAATGGAGATGAGGAAGCTGCAAAAAAGGTAAACTGTGTAGGTGTTGGTGGCTTAGGCAGCGCTCCCCTACTCGAAAATCTCATGCACATATATTTTGACGTGCACTTGTGCCTACTGCTCTCTGGGATTTTGTGCTAGCCGACCAGATCAGTCTCAGGGTAGGGTGAATCTACGTTTTTGAAACAGTTTGCCTAGGATTTGCGCTGCAGAATGTTCGCTCTCTTTACATTTAGCGAATGGGGAAGTCAAAAGGAGAAAGCATAAGAAAATGTTGAGCTGCTGGAGTGCTGGCATGAATCCAATCGGAAAGTCGATTGGAAAATATAAAGGGAGTTATGACTTATTTTAAATAAACTATCAATATGTGCCGTTTTTTCTTGATTGTTTCTTTTTCTTTATGGTTCTCTCTGGTTTACTTGCGAGAGCGAGAGAGCAAAGTAACGGCGAAACAACGCGAGACAGCTCTGTCGTTCTCTTTGCTTTGTATGAGTGAATAGGAAAGACAATTGGATTCTTTGTGTTGATTGCTTTTGACTCGCTCTCCTACTTGCAAATCGGTTGCATATTTATTATGTCGAGCACTTTGACTATACGTCTCTGGATTTCGATGCAAGCCGACTAAATTAGTGTAGGGTGACTTCACATTTTTGGAACTCTCTTTGCATTTGACTGTGTAATTGTCAGTAAAAAGGGGAGAGAAGAAGAAGATGCGCTGCTGGAGTGCTGGCTTGAATCAACATGAAATAAATCGTCTCGGAAAAGATTTCCTTCACTTGATCTCGATCGGAAAATGCTTAGAAAATAACTGTATTATTTATTATCCAGAAACCATTATTATACGCCGTTGCTTTTCTTGGTTCTATCTGGCTTTCGTTTAAGAGTGAGAGCAAAGTAACTGTAAAAACAACACAAGACTGGGCTCTCTCGTTCTTCTTTTCTTTCATGAGTGAATAGGAAAGGCAATTGGATTCTTGTTGTTGGTTGCTTATTACCATGAAGAACGTATATATATATATAGTTATGCTTATGACTTGCTCTCCTGCTTGCAAATCGAATGCACAATATACCCTATTTACTCTTCGAGTACCGGGTATAAAAACTGGAAAACCAGTCGGTCGTCCATAACAACAACTATTAAATTAATGTTGAAAACTGAAATCAATTTATTTGTAGAAAATCATGACGCATGAGGGCGCAGACGACCAAGCGGGCCCTGGGCTTACCCCCGCACACATTATTTAATGAATAAATCACACTGCCGGTCCCTGTAGCGAGAAAATAACCACGACAAATAACCAAAATCACACAAATTTCAATTGCTGCACGCCGCAACCAAAAAAACCAACAAAGGCATCAAGATCGAGTTTTTGAGCTGTTCTTCAAATCGCATTCCCATTACATTTGATTTAAGTGTCGTCTGTCTCAATTCTGAAGTGTCAATTTAATTTATAACAATTGTTGGCCAACATTTGCATTCCATGTATCTAAAACTGTTGCAGAGGGAAATGTCTCTTTATCAGTCCTGACATTAACATGAGAAATTCAACGATGTGCAATGGTCAAGGAAAATAGTTTACAAATTGAGCACCTAGAGGGAATAGTTAAGGCCTGTTGTGATATTAATATGCATCCTTAATTGAATTTGATCCTTGGCTTAATTAAAAATAAATATTCAATGTTGGGTATATATTTATAACAAGAAACTTTAAAGCTAATTGTCATAAATTCAGAATAAAATATTTATATTTTATTTAAAAATAAAGGCAAGGAAGAGAAAGCAGTGTCAGATGTGCGCCAGGATGAGCAGCGGCGCGTCCCAGGAGCTATGTATTTGAGCAATTAAATTCAAATACATAATTGATAAGCGGCTAATTTAACGGCTCGTCGAGCAGAGCTACAATAACAGCAGTAACAACAATCACAACAATAATGACAGGAATAACAATATGCACGAAGGTTCGAATTAATGACAAGTAACAGGATAACGATTTCAGCACGAACCCAAACACAGTAGCAGCAAAGGGAATATCTATTCCTTTGGCCAGCGCTCAAGCTAGGCCCCGGCACAGCTGCGATGTGGCCCAGTGCCACGGCCATTTATAGTTTATTTGATTTGAATTTTGTTGACAGAACACCAATGTCCTGCTCATAAAATGTAAATATTGTGCATACTCGTACAACTATTTCGAGCACGCGTGTCTGAGTGTTCTGCCATTTCGTTTGACAAAAAGTTTAAGCCTGAAAATACGTCCGGTCTGGTCCCGTTCGGTTTGTGTATGGTTTATAAATAAGTTAAATCATTTTGGGAAATTTATTTGATTATGCAATTTATAATCACGAGGATCACGTGCCTTGCTGCCGGACAAACGACCGACATGATTTTCATATTGAAATTTCGGGTTTTGATTTCTGTTTGCCATGCGTAATTGCGCACCGGAAGTGCAGAGTGGCCATTAATGATGCTGGCCATGCATTTTGATTTTGTTTAGATGTTTAGTTTGCGGCCTATGGGAGGTGTTGCCCTCTGGGTCCACCTGCACAGCCATTGACTGTACTAACGCTTAACGGTAATCGAAGCTTTCGCACAGAAAGCTAACATTAAACTTTACTCAAAAGCTTTTACCACAACAGCTTTCTTATAGTGAGTGAGCTTTTCCTTTACTCTGCCCCCTAAGATCCTTTTAATGTCCTTGCTGGGCCATGCAGAAACCTGTATAATATTGTCATTGACAAAATTCCTTTCCAATACGCATGCACTGACAGGGTCTCTATGCGCAGGTTTCGCGGAAGCTTTCGCCGTAACATGTGGCTGCATGTCAGATGTTCACCGAAGGACGAGACTGAGAAGGCTTTCGGAATGGCAAGTATTTGCGTAGGTTTAGGAATACAAATGGTAAAATTAAAATAATAATTTGGGTAGCATAAACATACGCAAGTTAAAATATTCCATTTGGGATGTTCTTATTTATAAATTAACCTATAAAGTGCAGCAAATTAATCAAACTATTTTGGTCCTTGTAAAAATACAAAACAAACCACTCACTGTAAGGGATCTAAAATACCTACCTTGCCCAAACTTTCTCCTCTGAAGTCTCCACTCTACAAAAGTTCTGTTTCCGTCACAGAGCCCCGAGCACCCGCCAGCCGACAACCCAAAATCGATGCCCAACCGGTTCGCTCTCTATCCGGCTGGCCCGATGGCCAGCAGCTTTTTCCTCGCTGTTCCTTGAACGTGTGGGCCAAAACGCGAATGAACATCGACCGTGGAAGTTGACTGCAGCAGTACAAAGCGCTAGGCTGAAGGTGAATGAGAAAAGGAAAATTCTACCCAAGAGAAACGCATAGAAAATCCAACCGAAAATGTTGAATAAATGATGAAATAATCAAGTAAAATTAATGGAATAATTGGTAAACAAATTAATAAAGAACTGAGAAGTGATGTACGACGGTTATATAAAACGAAGTTCCATCGAAAGCACCGAAAAGTGTTGTGCGCGTGTGTGTGTGTATGTGTGTCTGTGGCTTTCGATGTGTGTGTGTGTGTGTTGGCACGCGCTGGCGAAAAAGGAGAACAATTTTTGTGTATCAGTATTTTTCGGTGCTGCTAAAGCAAAAATTCCGAGTAAACTGACGAGAAAAATGCATTTTGGAGCTGTGTAATGGAGATTAAAATTACAAATTCAAATGTGGAATGCAAAAATATGGGAGAAATATTAAATGGGGTATCATTGAAAGTGAAAACGCATATGAGCCACTTGCTGGGTTATTGATTTTTCCACATGATTTCTGTGGCAGTGTGGCCTAAGTGCGAAAAGAGATGACATTTAACCAAAATGTAATCGTTGTAAATCGAAAGCGTTGCCGAGAATAATATAAATAATAGTTTTTAAATGTAATACGGAAAGAAAAGAAAACTAAGAGCGTTCTTTACTAATTTCAAGTGTGTGTGTGTGTGTGTGTGTGTGTGTGTGACTGTGCCAGAGAAAGAAAAGAGGAAAGCTCAGGCGTTACGGCTCTAAGAAAATCTCTATCCTGAATTTGCCTTCAACGTCGTCTTTGAAGGAAAAGCGTATTTGCCAACTTAACCTCGCTCTCTCTCTCTCTCTCTCTCTTTTAACCCTACACACGTACACCCACACACATAACCTTTTGAGCAAAGAGACAAAATACACACCCGCCCACACACACACACATACACACACACACATACACATGCGAGATTCGCTCTATCAATATTTACGCATACCATTGTATTTTGATATTACGTATTCGCTCCGTTCCTCTGCCCCACACGTACTTACTTTCTCTCTCTCTTTATCTCTCTCTCTCTCTCTCTCTCTCTCACTGTTTGGTCCTCTCCCAATGTTTGGTGCAAAATACACAAAATTCTCATAAATTAACAAAATAAAAAACTTACAACCAATTCAATACGAATCGTGTCAAAAACAAATCAGAGTTCTACTAAATTCATGTGAGACTAGCAAGCCGCGGCCTCTAGCCAAAGCTAGCCACGAATAAATCAGCAGAAGCAGCAGCAGCAGCAGCAGCAGGAGCAACAGAACGCACCCACACTCACCAAAGGAGACAAGGACCCTCATCGCCATCTTTCCTGCCAAGTCGTCGCCACTGCTGCCGCCCTTACCCCGGATTCACACTTCGACAGACGCTGCTCTAAACCCATCATCCAATCATCTAACCAAGCTGACTTCAAAACGGAACATTAAATCCAAGGAAAAGCGACGGGAAGCTATAAACATTGGTTCAGACTCAGATTGGTGAGAGGAATCATAACAGCGGCCACATTGTCTGACTAGAAGGTAGGTTTAGTAGGTTAATGTTACACAAAACTTACACACGAACATCCATTTCGGTAGGGTTTAATGTTACTTTCTTAAATAAGATCAAGCTTTGTGGTATGTTCCAAATCAATGTTCGGAAAGATTAGCCTAGGATTTGTATGAAAAAGTCATGGATTGGTATTTAATATTTAATGTTATGCTCATGTCAATTAATTAAATTGTTTAACGAAAATGAAATAAAATATAAAACGAGACTCCGTGTCTGCTTCCCTGTACTTAGCGTGCAGTATTTTTCATTCAAGTTCCCTCAGACCCTCCTCTTCCAACATTCAAGCCTAAAAAATACACTCGTATCTTATTCATTATGCGGCTCTTATCTCTGTCTTATGCCAGCTAAACTTGATTAAGCATCTCTTTCGCTAATTAGCTTTGACAGGCAGACAAAAGAAGAGGAAACAGGATTTGAGGTATGTAGGTGATGGAGAACCCGGGGGGATGGGTCAAACCATGCAATAAAAGTGCTCCAGCGAAGTATAGAAAACGCACATAATAGCCAATAATCAAGTTAAGCCAATCCCCCACTCAAACACACAGACGAAGTAGGAGACTTTATGGGGGGAAGTTCCACGCTTTGTTTGTAGCGTTTTCCTGTTCTTACAATTTGATTGCAAAGAATGTTGCATTTTTAAAAACATTTCTTTATCAGAGGAAAAGCAATTGTTCAATGAAAGCGAAAAGCATAATGATGTGGAAAATTGGTTTTTCTCTTCGGGCATTCTTCATGTCTCAGCCATTCTCCAGACTACAAGCTTCGCCTGCTTCTCCGTCTCGTTTTGGTTTATTCCTACTATTTGCCATTTTCCCCTATTTTTTGTGCAGAGTTTTTATTTTGTTGCCTTCTCTGGGTTATGTGCGCAGTAGAGGAAAAAGAGAGCCACAGAAGGAGAGAGAGAGGAGAGAGAAGAGAGAGTGGCCGCGCTCTACGCGCTCTGACTCGTCACAAAAGTTTAACCGATTCCTGCTCAGAAGCTCAGCCAAATGACTTCGAGGAAAGAGCTTAGACCGTGGGCCTCCTTCCGTTTGGTTCGGGTTCATTTTTGTTCCTTTGTGCGAATGTTACATGCGTGGGTTTCACAGATGTTACCCATAAATCCTAAATCTAAATCCTTTTTTCACGTTTGAGTTCGTTCTTGTTTTTGTTTATCCATTGCTGGTTGTGGCCGGCTGTCTATCCTGTCAGTGCTCTCTAATTTGTTTTGACAGCTTGATTGTCAGCTCTTGACACACATTCTCCTCCTCTCTCCTTCCGTGTGTGTTTTGCCCGGATGGGCTTTCGGGCGCGTTTATCTACCGAATTTTTGATGAGGCCAAATTCTCTTATCGTTAAACGAATTTATTCCTAATCTACTCGTAAAATAACAGCCAATTTCTGATATATCTCTGTGTCTTGGTGACACTGCAGTGCTTGTATTAGTAGTCCACCCACAACACATCTGTCATTCGTACGCTCCCCCTACCAGCGATGGAGCAGACAGCTATTCTATTTTAGGCCGCCGTGAAAGGTCAAAGCGCAGAAATTATTATGCATAGCAAGAGAAAACCCCCTCTGAAATAATTCACTGTGATGACGGATGCAAGAAAAGAGATTTTAAATTGAAAGAGCTCCCTATCAAAGCAACATTTGTAATTCATATATTCTTGCCATACAATTTGCAATATAAAAGCTGAAAAAGGTCACCTGAAGATTCTATTTAATTACATTTCAAATCTATTGTATCAAAGTTGGTGAATAGATAGATGACGCATTGCACATTAAGTTATTGATTGAATCCTTTGGATGCCATTCACTGCCTCCTGGGAACAGCACGAAGTTCGCAACAATAAAGATTTGCAGTCTTTATAACAATGGCCAGCCCATCATCTGTACAATTCTGGTACAAATACCAGTAAGGATTTCCCATGCATTCTGCAAATTTTACAGTTGCCTTTGATGACCCAATTTGGAAATGGGAAATGTTTTACCATCAATTTTGGGCTCAGAAATAAACTCAGTGGACATTTAAGCTCGTTTACAGGTCCTCATAACGAGGACTTGCAACAACATCAAAGAGCGAGAGCAACTTGGGTCCCAGACATATGGGCACCAAAAAATAATACATTCTCGTAAACTGCACACCTATTTGAGCTGTGGGTTGCGAGTGGAACAGGCACTGGCAGAGTGACAAAATTGCTGCCTATGTGTGTGCCTCGAGATGTTTTTGTACTTCTGTTCTGCTCTTATTAACCTGCAATTTCCGTGTAGCACATTTCGGTTTATGACAAGGCTTGAGTTTTTTGGTGCATTAATAAAATATGACGCGAATGTCCTGGCTTTGGTGTCATGCCCTAACACTGATTGCCTTGCAGCCGTGTGATTGTTTTTCTTAGAGTAAAACACAATTCAGTAAATCCAAAGATGAAATCCCACTTTATGGCTTGTTTAAGCTGCATGTAAAAGTTCTTATCGATTTTTTTTAAAACGAACAGCTTGAAGGCGTGGTCAGGATCTCTTTTGAACAGTATAATTATATCACATTTTCATAAATTATATATGAAGCGCAAACAACTTAATTTCACACATTTTTCTATGCAAATTGAGTCTTTTCGCACTTATTTCGAGGGGCGCCTGCTAAGGAAGTTCTTGTTAAATAAACACATTTTTTTTCAGCCCACAGTTAGACTTTCTACGTGGCACCATTTGAATTTTAAGCATTTTTATGGGCTCGCTTGAGCAAAGATGCTCTGGGCATTTCCATTTAAGAAGCTTTCTCTGTGTGTGTGTGTGTGTGTGTGTGTGTGTGTGATGGTTGCCACGGGCTTAGCAAGGGTATACGAGTAAATGTCCTTTGACGTCATTTACCGAGTCAACAATTGCAGCAGCAGCTTCTCGCGGTTGCCAGCAATTTGAAGTCACTTTGCTCCTAAATTGCTCTTATGCCTCTTTTATTCTCTTAGTGGGGGGCCAAGTGGGTGGCCATTATAATTTATCTTGTGCGGGCGAAGCTTTATGAAAAACTAAAGCCACTTTTCCCAGAAAATAATTGCAGTAGGTGACTACTATTTTCTATTAATCTCTAGCGCTTGCAAAAAGACTTTAATCTGAATAGACTGAAGCCGCTTTTGATGCTTTTTATCCCTTTCAATGTTTCGTTGAACAATTATTTCTATACTCTTCTTGTGGCACCTAATAAAGGCACTACATCTTCCATTCTCTCTACCCTTAGACCTACCTTCATAGACTTTTCGAATATAATTTTTCATTTCGAGAACTGTAAGAAACTAATAGCAAATTTACCTATTGGCCATGCACATTCATAACTATTCAGGTAATGAAAAAGCTCCAAGGTTTGGTGTACCAATCATTTTTTATAGGGTTCATGAAACCCTCGGGCCGACAGGTGTCATTCAACCTACGAGCATGATGGGTTAGCAAAAGTCTCTCATCTCCCACAGCGAAATCAGTGACAGCTTATGGTCAATGGTTGCCAGACAACAATAAAAATAAAACCCGACTCAAACCGATTCCCATTGTTAAAGTAATTGAAATGAAAAAAAAAAGAACCGAAGAATATAATATGAGAAAACTCACAATTAATATTAATGAATTAAATTAGAAAAGGATGGAAAAAGGAGGGAAATATTAGAAAGGCGAAAGAAAGAAATAAGAACAATGTGTTGGACCCGCACTAATGTAAGCTTTTACATACATCGTTATGTGGTACAGAGTGCGTGCCCTTGGCATGCTACGGATAAGCACTTTTACTGGGTGAGTTATATCCCAGCTTTCTGCCACCACCTCCACTGAGTAGACGCCGTCAGCGCATTTCGAGTGTTTCAAGGACAGAAGTGTAGGAAAAGTTCGTAGCGACATTTGCGGGATTTCTTTGTGAACACTTTGAGTTTCCGGCTATTTTTAAAACGCACACCCTATGGAAACAGAACGCGCATTATTTTAAGTAATTATTAAAGCTTACAGAATCCGTTCAATTAAGAACTTGCAAAAGTGCTAGCAGGGAAGAGTTGAAGTTGTTTAGGAACTGTTTACTGGAACATCAATTACCTTATGGTTTTGTAACTTGTTTTTTCAGCAACCAAACACACAACAAAATGCCGCCAAATGCAAAATCGGAAGCGGACGCCAAACCGGACGAGGAGCCAGCGCCTGAATCGGCCACAGAACTAGAGTCCGTGGACCAGAAGCTGGAAGAAACACATCACTCCAGATTCCGCGAGCTGGATAAGCAGGAACAGGAGTCGGCTGCCGAGGAGGCAGCGGCCGCCGAAAGTCAACGAATCGCACAGGTGGAGACAACAACAAGGAGCGCAACAACAGAGGCTCAGGGTGAGTTCTCCGGAGAGAATATAGAGGAAACAGAGCTGTATGCGGACCATGTTGCAGAATCAACAACCACCTCCTTGCCAGTCATCAAAAAGATTGAGCATGCCGGCGAAGTGGTCACCGAGGCGATTGCGGAGCGCACGGGTCTGCCCACATGGGGCGTGGTGGCCATCATAATACTCGTATTCCTCGTCGTCTTTGGTATAATATTCTTCTGTGTTCGGAGGTTCCTGAAGAAGCGAAGAACCAAAGATGGTAAGGGTAAGAAGGGTGTCGATATGAAGTCGGTACAGTTGTTGGGATCGGCATACAAGGAGAAAGTAAGTATCTGAGGTGCCATCAAATATTAGTAGTTATTGGGTTCTGGTATGCCATAGGTTCAGCCTGATATGGAGGAACTCACCGAAAATGCCGAAGAGGGCGACGAGGAGGACAAGCAGAGCGAGCAGAAGCTGGGTCGCCTCAACTTCAAGGTGGGTTTCCCTAATCACTCCCCAGAGCCCACCCACTCTTAACTAATCCCAATACAGAACTAACCAAAGCCAAACTCAGATAGGTGTCAATGTGTGCACAGGAACACTCACACAAAGTACAAGGACCAGAAATACCACTCTTATAACTCTTGCTTCCGACAAGTACATCTTAACGTTTCAATCACACTCGAACTCACACACCAAAACAACATTAGATTAGACCAAAATTAGCTGTTTGCACCATGAAGTATTTCTGAGCAGCCTTTGGGAATATCTCTTAGTGTGAACCAACTTTACATTCGACTGAAACTGCCTGCACATTTCAAATAAAAATCGCATTTATCTTAGTCTCTAACTAACATAATCTCTTTGTTCCTCTGTCCCCATATCAAATTCCCCTGTTGCGCACCCCTTCGATGTTTTATCTTGCAGCTGGAATACGACTTCAATTCGAATAGCTTGGCCGTTACGGTTATTCAGGCCGAAGAGCTGCCCGCCCTGGACATGGGCGGCACTTCGGATCCCTATGTCAAGGTTTACCTGCTGCCGGACAAGAAGAAGAAGTTTGAGACCAAAGTGCATCGCAAAACGTTGAGTCCGGTCTTCAATGAGACGTTCACTTTTAAGGTGCGAGGAATATACAAAATTCTTTACAATGATTTTTGTATTTAATGGCTTTGTTACAGAGTTTACCGTATGCCGATGCCATGAACAAAACGCTCGTATTTGCCATTTTCGACTTTGATCGCTTCTCCAAGCACGACCAGATCGGCGAGGTGAAGGTTCCTCTCTGTACGATCGATTTGGCGCAAACCATCGAGGAGTGGCGCGACCTGGTCAGCGTTGAGGGTGAAGGTGGACAGGTATGTAGACCAATTCAGGCAGTCGAGGTGCTAGGCCACAGGTCTGCAATGCAGACTCTCTCCGTAACTCTTTCTCTCTCTCGCTGTCTATGTATAACACTCAGTGTGCCACTAAGTTCCTTTTTGTCCAACGATGTTATCTGTGTCTTATGATTTATTGGGTTTTCCATTCATATTTTTGTTCTCTAAGTTATGCAAGTCTTCTCGAAAGTGAGGGCTGAGCAAGCGGTGAAGTCGTGTGATACTTATTGACTTCTGTTCTTAAAATGATTGTGTTTTGTGTGTACATATGTATTTTGAGTGCAATTTCAATGAGCAAACCGACATAGAATGTCGTACAGCAAAAAGCAGTATTTGCAACCCGTCCCGCCCCTCTTTAAAGTACATGGAACAAAGACAATTACAAAGAAAACTTTCCAGAACAGAAACAATATCAACAAAACAATGAAAACTTCGCGGAACAGACAAGCAAAAGTTGTTTGAATCTCTTGTGAAACTTGTACACACCCAGTTCAAAATGCAAATATAAAAACATGAATAAATGAGTAAATAATATCTACCAACCATTTACTCAATATCAACGCAACAACAAAAATCCACAGAAAAAACAGTGGGGAAAATCAAAATTCAGAACTGAATTTCTGCTTCTCCCCAACTCTCTGACAGCATTATTATTTCCCTCTCTACTCTCTACTCTCTCTCTCTCTTTTACGTAAACACAACTACAGCAAAAAATAAAACTCTAAATTTCTCTTTCTCCAATCCCCACTCCAAAACAAACAATAATTGTTTTCGAAACATATAATCTCTTGTTTTCTTGAACTTTTGTAGAAGGTAAATACAAAACATGATTACAAATCTTACAACAACAACAAAAACCCAAACAAAAGAGAACTCCATTACACTTTTGCATACTTGATTTGAGTTTGTATCATTTGTATCCAACGTATAACCTGCTCTTTCTCTCCGAACTGTCGCTCTTGTACATGAAATCTGTCTATAACAATACTCGTTCGTAATCAACGTCTAATAACACTAAAAGCTACTACTAAAACTTCAAAACTTATTCCTCTGATCATCATAATCAATCACTTTGGTCTTGAGCGATTGTTCTTCGACTTTTCTCTCTCTCTCTCTCTCTCTCTCTCTCTCTTTCTCTCTCTATATATACATACACACATACTTATATATCCTGATATATTGTTATGTCTGCATTCTTTCTCGCATCATTAATATTGTAGTTGAATTTTTGTGTTGATATAAGCAATTTATCTATGTTTGAGCTGTCTTGTTTGCAATGAAATACTAACGAATAGAAAGGCATTTTTTGATAAATGTTTTCACATTTCCATATGCAAATACTCACACTGCAATATTATTTTGCTGAGAAAATCTGTGGCATAAGAAAGCAACCAAAAATCAGCGTGGCCAAACCACACAACTTTCTGCCACAAAACCCCTCTCTGTCTTCCCTCATTCTCCCAAATCTTATTGCCTTCATTGGGGCCCAAGTTCTATAATCACTGATCTAACAAACAAAAACAACTGAAAATGTCCCCGAACACCTATCACACACTTTTTGTTTGCACTTTGATTGGAACAATTTAACGCCGAAAATACTGGAAACTTTTGCATATCTTTCTTAAAGTAGTATCAACTTTTGCACCCCCCGTTCTTTGCATAAAGTCCGTCAATCTTTTATTACACTGATACTGACACTCAGACACCCAATATTTCTCTATCTAACACACACACACACACACACACACACAGACACGCACAAAAGAATCTTCGAAATAAATAATTAAATTGAAATGTTGTAAAATATTTGCATTGATTTAATTGAATTGGTCCAGTGATGATACACTAACACACACAACAAAAAAACGATCAGAACACATATACGAATTCAAGTACACATACAAATACATAACTCAATAAGCACACACACTTACACACACACACACACACACACAGAAACACACACAAAGTTTCAGCAAAAGCTTGAAGTTTTCGCCTGTGAATGCCAGACTGGAAAATAAAATTGAAAGCAATAAGAAAACCAAGAAAAATAGAATATACTCTTACTGGATTCGATTTCCCTCTCATACATATATCATTTACAAATGAATGTATTTAGAATCCAGCAAGTGGATATTGTACCTTTATAATAAAGTAAATTCTCAGTGCATTTTGCGGTACAATGAAAAACAATCCTCAGCTTTACTGGCCAGAGAAAGCAATAACAATTGTTTTTTTTTTCTATATGAATAAATAAAAACCTATCTACAATATAACTAGTTAGCAACACTGCAAAATACCTTTCGAACCATTTATTACCCTATTGCATGTTTTCCTTTTGCTTAAGACTTAATAATACCCTATATATGAATCACACTAAGTATTAGAATCGAATACTCAACACAACCTGAACACGGACACGCGACCAGCAATTGTTTACAGAAAAATACGAATACCTTTACTTTTTTACATTTGCCAAAAAAAAACCCACAAGAAATACTCTCGTACTTATCAAAATTGTGATGGAAATGGAATTGAAAAATTGTTAATATGCTCTTCATTTTTCTCTTTAATTATTTTTGAACGTATCGCTAAAAACCAAAACAAATCCAAATCAAAATCTGTTATCACAAAAAATTCGATTACTTGAAATTCCCAAAACTGTACTCGAACTCGAAATTTTTGACTCATGCCATGGGGATATCAAATCAATCCGAAACCTGAATCCGAATCGGCCCGAAACATGTAAGTATACGAATGGAGAGAGAAAAACTCATAATTATCGTTATTTGCTTTGGTTGTTGTCGTCATAAATGTATTTCCAGTTCTGTTCGTTGTGTTTGTGTTACAATTCTGTTCGACCAGCAAACGTATCTCAAATTTACCGGTATCCAAGTCAGGATCCTGATTGCACCTTCTGCGGAAGGACGTACAATACGCTTCTTTGAACCTTAAACTCTTGTGCTTAGCTCTCTGTCACTGTCTCGCCCGATATGTGTATTATGTAATTATGTTTTCGGTTGCATTTTGACTTGTTTGTGTGCTGTAATGTTTAAGCAGAGCTTCGATGACAGTCAAATACCTCAACAACAAATGCTCGACAATGTTTTTCCAGTTGTACTTATGATTTCTTTCAATTATGATTACATATGTACCTTTTCGTTTCCATTTAACATTCACCCAACATTGAACAATTCAACAACTCGTATTTGGAAAATCCCAGAAATCAAATCAAAATCAAAAAATAAATCAGAATATGATTCCAATTCCAAGACTCTAACTATTTAAAACCCTAAACAGTTGCGGTAAGTGACTCCGATATAAAATCTATAACTTCACCATAACGCTCGCTCTCTGTCTGTCTCGCTCGCTCGCTCGCTCGCTCTCTGTCTTGAAACTTTTTTAAATAATCGTAATCCAAACTACACTCATCCACATACCACATAAAATATAGACCAGCAACTAGCATTTTTATTGCCCGGGCTAGTTTGGACCTTGGAGAGGTGCACGAGCAATTGGCAGTTGAATTGGTTTGTCTTTCAAGTCGAAAGAAAGGAAGCAAGAAAATTATGAATACCTGCGACTGCAAGTGGTTCGAACCAGCCTAGGGTCTTATATATGTTTATATACTCGTAGAGCTCTGAATAATCTAGCTAGAAATTTCATTTATAAGATATGAGAGTATGGTATGTCTCTTCATGTACATAAGAATCCACATCTCTATTTCTCTATATACATATATAATTTTAAACTCTTTTTGATATGCCTCCGAAACGGGTGCATTAGAACCCCAAATTAGTTTCTTCTGTACATACAAAATCGGTTCGACTATGCTTGACTTCAACTATTTTATCTTCTCTATCTATCTTCTCCTAATCTCATATCAATAATGTCTAAGAAAATGTTTGAAACCAAATAATTTTGCATTTTGTGCAGTCGGTTTTGAGCTGGGTGTTATTAAACAATATAACGAGACCATAACGACATATGACACTCAAGAATCTTGATTTAACTATAACCCCAAGTAAACACTGTAAGTTTTGGTATGGTTACAACTATACCCATACAAACATACTCGTCTAACAAACAAAAAACATTAATAAAAGATCCCCAGAATAACGAAAACAACACTTGAACAATATCAATTAGTTTTCTTTCAGTTGAATCATTTTCCTTGGTTCGTTAACTCTTCGTTTGGATACAATACTCGTACTCTTCTCTCGATACCCCAATACAACATGTATATAGATATATGTTTACACTTACCAGAACCAGAATCGAAGCTCTATAACGTGCAGTAAATGTTTTAAATGTAATTTTTTGTGGCGTTTTCTTTTTGTGTCGATATAACCATGAACTGTTCGTAAACCTTACGTACCAATTGCTTACCAATCGAATAAATTAATATAATATACTGTACTGTACTGTTCACCCTGCCCCCAAAATCCACATCACTTCATGGCATACGAAGTGAGTTTGGATTATCCTGAGTTACGTGTTTATGAAGTGTCTTAATGTTTTTTACCTGATAAACTTGGTTATTTCTTTTATTAACTTGATATTGTGCAACTGTATAAATCGATAATAAATTAGTTGTGACGGGAATTGTGTCTTGGAAATTAATGCAAATTTACCGACTCCTATTCCTTGGTTATATCTAAATACCCAAGTATTACGATCCTATACGATCTGCGTAGGTTTTTCTACATTTTTTGCTACACCAAACTGAGTTTAATCCTAAACTAAATATAAAAGTGCAAAAACTGCATAGGAAGGAGTAAAAGTCCCTCTGTTTGAACACTGCCATAGTGCAAACCCAATCGAATATAGAAACTATAAACTTTTATGTATACTTTTATGTGGATATGTATGTAACTGTATCTCTAGTCTTTATGTGACATGTTGCTTGTTGCAAACCGTATCAGCCCTGAGCGAAACCTACTAATCACACCCAACTCTCGTTTCTCCTAACTCTTCTTGGGATCTCGTCTCACAGGAAAAGCTTGGAGATATCTGCTTCTCGCTGCGCTACGTTCCGACTGCTGGCAAGCTAACCGTCGTCATACTGGAGGCCAAAAACCTGAAGAAGATGGACGTGGGCGGACTGTCTGGTAATATGGAGTGCTACCGATGCGCTGTCAGGACTGATGCCAGGGCCAAAGATGTTTTTGTTGGGCTCCCGGCGGTTCTGGCAGCGTTTTTATTGCTGTTTGTGTAACTACTTAGATGTGTGGAGTTGTACCTAGTTAGATTTTACTTTTGAGTTAATGATTTCCCATTGATTTTCAAACGTCCATGGCAAGGAAAGCGCCAAGGCAACGTTTGCTCGCAGATAAAGTGCTCGGAGAGCAAAGTCCAACCAATTTTATTCCAACTAATATTTTGTCAACTTTTCAACTATCAAATAGCGCCAACTTTCTCGACTTGCATATTTTCCCGTATTTGTCTTGAATCGCGTACGCTAAAATTCAACTAAATTCATTTACTCTCAAATCAAAACCAATGGATATATTTTCGCCCGGCAACGTTTCCATACCGAAATCTCGCACAACTTTTACTTACTTGTATGCCTGGCAAACAATAGAACCCAAAATTAAGTAAAGCTCTTGCCGAACAAGAGACAAGGCCAAAATCTCGCTTGCTTCTAGCTTCACTTTTGCATGTAAACTAACAATTATTTTCAACTAAACACTCGACATCGTTTCGGGCCACTCGGACTGACCCTGAGTGGTTACAGACCGAAGAAAAACGTTGCCGCCAAATATATCCAAACAATTAAAGTTCTTCTAGGCTTTTACAAACAACAGAACATTTTCCCAAATTTGTTTTGAAATGCTCTGACATTAATCGGATTCCAAGTCAAAAACTCTTAGTCATGAGATTTGCAACGAACAAATCTGTTTCTTTTCTATAATTTACAATTGAACACATTTGTGTGCTTTGAGTTCAAAGCGTTACTGTGTGCCAAAACGTTTCCAAAAGACAGTACATGTAAATGATTTTAAATTTGAGAATTAATTTCCAAAGAGAACAAGCCAAAGGGAAACCTTACTCCCATACAATTGACGAATGAACAAATGTTTGCTAAAGTCTGTGGTTTAAAAGTTTTAGCTTTGGCTTGTTCCTCTCGTGCGTATTATCGTTGTTATTTTCGTTTGTTTTGTGTGTTGCAAAGTAAAAAATTGCCTAAAACCTATTGTATATGTAACACGTATATAATTAATCGAAGTTTTTGTGTAAAATTCGTATATGTGTGTGTGTAAAGCAAAAACCAAAAATAAGAAATCAATCAATCAAAAATGTGCTCCTCAAATTGTTGCAAAAATTTTACTTTGTTATAAAAACGAAAAAATGTTTTCTTTTTTTCTTTCTTTCGATTCTTTCCTATATTATAGATCCATATGTGAAAATTGCAATCATGCAAAATGGCAAACGTTTGAAAAAGAAGAAGACAAGTATCAAAAAATGCACCCTCAACCCTTACTATAATGAGTCGTTCTCATTTGAAGTACCATTTGAACAAATACAAGTATGCGAGAATGTATTATACTATCCTATAAAAAACCACAACTACTACTACTACTACTACTACTACTACCTATACAAACTTACCTACTACTACTACTACTGTTACTGCTGTCCTCTTCTGAACTATCTATCATACAAACCAAACCAAAACCAAAACCAAACCAACCGAGTTTTGAGTACCCAACCTCCCTCTCAACACACACTAGCCTCTTACGTGCAATCGTTGTTGTTATCGTTATACTATATGTATATAATAAATCCATATATTGAATACTTGTATTCCAAAAGACAACAACACCAACAACTCTAAACAAAAACAAACCGAACACGTTTAGTGCCAATTTCTCGTATTACCCATAAAGATATCTATAAATTCCCCCCCCCCCCCCCTCAAAAAAAAAAACAAACTTAACCAAAACCTTGTGTTCTATAAGACCTATCAAAAACGTATTCAATGTTCAATGTTGTAATTTAAAATTAAAACCAAAATTTTCCAAGCTTTTTTATTTTTTAAACGCTTTTCTTACGGTTGTAAATATGACAAAAAAAAAACAAAAACAAAAAAACAATTTATTACCAATCCAAACACAAACAAAAAAATAGAAAAGAACGGATTGAAAATTTGTTGTTATGCTTTAATTTGAGTAGTTTGGTGAAATTAATTTAAAAACAACTTTTTTGTTAGATTTGTATCAGCCTCGATATGTGCTTAGAGCAGCCGATTGGGTTTCTGTTTTAGTTGATAAATATGTGTGTTTTTGAAAGACAATCTGGTAAAGGATCTGGTAGCAGTGAAATGCAGGCATGCCCTAGGTCTAGGTTCTATTTTCAAAAAGCATTGTAGACGCCCAACCTCGTACACACAGTCCTAGACACAGTTGAATGGAGAGCAAGCAAGTAGTGTGCCCGCTTCGCTCTCACGACTCGTGTAGAGCCGCCCTCAGCCAAGCCGTCGAGCATTCAAGCAGTCAAGCAGTCAAGCAGCCAAGCAAGAATGTGCACGAAAGTCCACCACACACTACGCTCACTCCAAGAACAACAAGAATACTTACTTAAACTACTCTTTCCATAATACAAACTATCGCAAACTCCCTAACTCAGCGGCGTCAATAATGCACCACCAAACCACAGAAGCGAAGTGGGTACATTATTTTGACACTGTCTTCTGATTTGAATATCGAATACCAATCGCACCACAACAGCTACAGTACAAATACAGAATACACAATAAATACCAAATGCCACCACAGAGAAGTATAGCGTATCACCATAACAAACAAACAAAAAAAAAAGAACCACCATAAACCACATCTTGCCAAACCATTTGGAACGATCCGCCAAATCTCGAGGGAGAACTCTGTTTCGGTTACGTGTGCTTGTGCAAGAAACTCCCCTCTATAAGTAGGACCCCCCCCCCCCCCATGCTGACAAAAGAAACAACGACGAATGGGATTGAATATTATACATTTTCGTTTACACGTATTTAATGAACATTTTTCTTTTTGCCACAGCTTCAATGAAATGCTATCAAGTTTCAAAGAAAAGTAATTTGTTCATTAGTCCCCAAGGTTAAAAAGAAAAGGATATATACTCTTATCTACCAACAGATCATCTTCGACAACCAACCGCTTCATTTGCTTCTCACCTTAACGCTGATCAAGAGCTTTTAGGAATTAGTTTTGAGTTTTGAATATTTGTTGTTTTATACTGCTCATCCTTAGCTTTAGACATTTGCATGTTCTGCTTGAAACCTCACCACCACAAATACCATACAAAAAATAAACAACAAAAAACATTCCCGTTTCAAGGAGCTTTTTGTAATGCTTGAAAGCCTTTAGATGTGTTTACCGAAAAATAACCAAAGAATCCCAAGCTTGTGCCAGCCAAAAGTCATCGAATGAAGAAATTCCCCACCGAATGATCTCAACGATCTCAGCAAAACTTCAAGTCTGAAGTAGCCTGCACAATATCTTTTATACAGCACTCAATCGCCACGAAATACTCAATGTAGATACGACCTTTGTCTATAAGTTGCTTCCCAAAAACAGCATTTGTAGTGTCTGCCTGTTAACCAAACAACAGCTCCCCCTGTTCCCCAGCCCCAACCAACAAAACCAAACAGAACACGCATATCGAAAATAACAAAAAGTTCTTCCAATCAAAAGTGAAACCTCACTCCCCTCAGAAAAAAAGAGACCGTTGAAGCAACTTAAAGCGAAATACCCTATACTAATGCCTACACTTTCCCCTTGAACACTTTCCGCTAACACTTGAATCTAGAAAATCTGTCTCGTTGTGACCGTTGTGGACTACGATCGTATTGGTACCTCTGAGCCCATTGGACGCTGCATACTCGGCTGTATGGGCACCGGAACTGAGCTGCGCCATTGGTCGGACATGTTGGCCTCCCCGCGTCGACCCATTGCCCAGTGGCACACACTCAAGGACCCCGAGGAGACCGACGAGATACTAAAGAACATGAAGTAAGGAGCTACATGGCTGACAAATGCAGGTAAGCAAGACTATTTATTATTCTGAGAGAACACAAGTATTTGAAGATAATTCATTTATTATATTCATGGAAAATGTTTCAGATTAACAGGCTGCAACCTATACGAACTTTGGAGTTTAGGTTTCTATTTAATATGCTAATATATTCCTCTGCTCTCTTTGTTTCCAATTAAAGACTTGCAGCACATCTATCAAACGTATGAAAATAACCAAAGAACACCTAAGAAAGCCGTCAAACATAGAAATCGATGCATCATCAGCTCTAACTGATCTTACAGATCCTCCTGATCCTCACCCGGAACGACAAACAACAATCAAATGAAATATCGTAGTTAAAGCAAATTGTTCATCTATGCAGTTACCACAACACATACCCAAACACACACAGAAGAATCAAAGCCGATTTAATAATAACTTTAGGATAATAAGTGTATCTCATTGGTTGAACAGGAAATTGAAATGAAAACTATGGTAAAGACCACACAAATTAATAAAATGAATTAACCAACTGAAATGATGTGGCTTCGACACACTTATATTCATGCGAGTGTTCATTTCCAGGTCCATGACTTTATTGATGTCACTGATTACAATTTTTTCCAAATGAATTAACGCTGAAATGAATACGGAAACTTTCAACATACACAACGTATGGATAAATTGATGCAAACAAAATATAAAATAAATGGAGTATCATTTTAAAGGTTAAGTTTCATTCGATTTTAAATTAGTCCAATGACAGACCGAATGTCGGAATCTAACCAGTTTTCACTTTGCTTTTCAACTGTTGAAGGATTACTAGCGAATAATATTACTAATGCATCACAACTGTTATGTAAATTATTTATTATGTTTAACTTATTGAGCATTACAGAAATGTACTTAACTGTGTAAGTATAAATCAACATATATGGATAATAGATAAAGTACATATATGTAAACGATAAAACACACGACAAACATATGAAGAAGAGTAAAGAGTAATGAAAGCAGAATCATAAAATAATATATATATTATATATAAAATATTATGTAACCCTTGCATAGACTAATGTTATGTATGTATACACAGATCTGAGTTTTGAAGACCTAACGAAATCAGACGTATATTCGTAAGTAGAGAGGAAGCCCCAAAACCAAAACCAAAACCAAAACCAAAACCAAAAGCAAATAACAAAAGTTAAACTTTAAAGCGTGATTTCAATGGAATATATCATCAGTTTAATCTTTAAAACAAATATCGAACATTTTGCACTGTGGATCAGATTGGAATCTTTGTGTTTCTTATGTTCGGATAATTTTAGGCCAAATAAGGAATGCGAGCAGAGTAATGGCTCAGTTCTGTTAGCGGTAGTTTCAATGCAGAAAATTCATTTGTTAATGTTTTACTTAATGTTTTTTTTTTTTCGTTGATTCTGTCTCCTCTTTATCTACTCATTTATTTTCGACTAGAAACTATTCCTTTGTTTTGCTTTCTCGACCCAAGTCTTGAGGTTTCTACAGCTATGTATTTACGGATCGTTGTTTTCGTTTTGAACTCTACCACACTCAATAATTTAGAAATCATATTAGGACCTAATGAAAATATACATACTAACTAAATGATTATGGCAAAATGTTAAAACAGAAAAAGAAATATTAAGAACAATAATAGTTATTACTATTTATATTATATTCAAGTATATATACGACATCTAAACAATATACATTTATATATATACTTATATAACATAGTGCTCTTGCTGCACAAGCCTACTAAGAAATCGGAATTTTGAATATGGATGGCAAACAAAAGAAACACTTATACCTTCCTATAGAAAAAGTCTCACAGTTGAATAGGAACTCCGAGTGAAAGTCGTGCATTAAGGGAGATTTAATAGAGATGAGCCATAATTTTCTGATTTTTTCCATATTGAAAGTAAACAAATTCCACTAATAAATTAGATGTTTTTTGTCCTGTAAATGGTATATTATAATGGTAATGATAATGCGTAGTTAGGGATCGGTGTATCCCCTGTACACACACCTACACAGTTGTAGTTATGTTCACCGAAGCAACAGAGATGCATAAAGTATGAGTAAAGCGAAGGAAAGTACCACAAATATTTATGTAATATAATTCATCTAAATTTAACAACTCGAACGGGGGACAGGAAAGCAAGATATAAAAGAAATTACGAGTATTCTTCAATAAAAAACCAATAAAGTACTTTGCTTTTCCAAATAGTTACTGTAAATTATCTCAAAACCCAAGAACAAAGACACAAAGACACGAAATAAATCTTAAACAAATAAAACATAACCTAACCACAAGAACAACAACAACAACAACAACAACAACAACAACAAAGAGAAACAAACTATATATACTTGCGTATTTAACAAATTATATGAAAAATTATATGAAATGATGTTGATTATTGATTTAAATTTAAACTGAGAAAGTGAATAAAACAAATTATATATACACCTATACATATATATATATATATATATATATATACATACATATATATAAATATTAAACCAGACAAAAGCAGAAAATTTCATTTGTGTTTTTCTTCAGTTTAAGTATCTTTAGTTACACAGCGTTACACTGGGCCACACACAAACCCGAACCCCACGTGCGACAATGTAAGTGTGACCCTCTCTCAAATCCGAATGTACATACATAAATACATACGTACACACACACAGTGACACAGACGCAAACACAGACACACAGACACACAGACACACTGAAACTACTGACCACACGAACTGACCAAAATGCAAGTCGTACACTTAAATGTATTATAAAGTTAGTTATATGTACAACAACAAAATGTGTATATGTACTTGTACTATTATTTCCTAATATCGAAAGCAGAGATTCGAAATAAACGTTATCAAAGCAGCATTCAAAAGCAGCGCAAAAGCCATCACGAAAAGCACAAATCAGTAGAAAAAGCGAAATGAAGCTAAACAAAACGAAACGAAAACAAACTAACATAAAATAGGTAACGTAACAATAACAACAAAACGAAGATAATGTAGCAGTCCATGTATCTTTATTTTATAGATATGTATGTATGTAATTTATATCGATAATTCAGGCATAAATGCATTTAGAAACCAGACCATAACCAGAGCATAAACCGATCGTTGGGTATAGCAGAAGGAACCTGAAGAATTGAACATCGATTGATCGATATCATCTCACAAGGGTATTCACTATAATGAGAGGGGGGATCTGGAATGGACATGCCGTGTGTCTGTGTAGGAAAATGAATAGCGACAAATACAAGATATAGAAATATGCGTTATAGGTACAAGCCACCTAAAATATAGGACAATGTTTGATGTTGATATGAGTTAATCTGGCCACATAGCGTGCGCATTATATGCATACATACATACATACATACATATATGTATGTACGAGTATACATGGTACATACAATTCGAGTACAATCCCAGGCGAAGAATAGCCCCAGCATAATCAGCATTTTATACGAGTATGCCAGGTGAGCAGCAGGGAGCAGTAGGAAGTACCCTAGACATTTATACATAACCATCAAGAGCACCGCATAGTATGAAGTTACCATACGATATATAAATAATTACATAAATAAACAATAAACACACTACACATACTCGTGCTATGAATGGCAAGTACTACCGCACCTGGGTAGTAGAGTAGGCCAATTCTCAGTTCAGAATCCACAATACCTACCTAGAACACTCACTCGGCACCACACTCTCACCCACGCGGATATCATTTAATGACTCCTTGCGGAGTTTTGTTGTTTATGATAAACTGTTTATAGATGTTTTTGAATTTTAAATAAATTATATTTACTATATGGCAAAGGCAAATAAGACCTGAGGCAATGTGTGTATGTTTTAAATGCTAATACAAAAACGAATCTTGAATTGAGGCTTTTGCGGGAGGCGTCGAACGAATGAATATTACTGAATAAACTGCATATATAAAAACATACTAAAATGCAACTGTATTGCAAGACAAGTATATCATTTTATTTCAAAGGCAAAATGAATTTAACACAGGCCAACACACACACACACACACGCACCTATAGATACACACACCTACAAACATACGAGTATATAGGGTAAGCGGTAAGCGGTAAGCGGCAGATCGACTGATCGATAACACACACGGTTCCAGAAGTCGCACCGTGCCAAGATCCAATGCAAATACCAATGTAAGCCCCCCCCCCACACACAGAAACTCAAGAACTAACATATGTGAAATGAAACGAGGAATGTTTATAAACAATAAACAAATGTTTGAAAACCATTAACAGCGGACTTTAATTTCACTTTAATTTGATTCACTGGAGAGAGTATCTTATCTGATTGCATTTTGTACCTTAGTTACATATAAAACGAGTACCTCTGTACTCTCAATTCTGGGAGTCAGTTAATGAGCTTAAATGAGCGAGAAAATCAGGCCATCGATATCTTCGTGAAATATATGTATTAGAGTGCCATTTAACTGGCAATTCAAATCGATACTTTGGCCTAACCTAATACGTTTATTTGAGAGCTAACAATGCCTAAACGACTCTGTTATCAAGAGCTCATTATGTTTGCTAACTAATGCTGACACTTATAAACAGAGAATGAGATTCTGCGTTCTAAATTGATGGGTTCATTTTCAAGTCAAAGTCATAGAGTGTTAGGCCGCAGTCGATCCGATTGACACGAACTGCAATCACTATCCTAGAGCGTGCTTCTGTATCTGTACTTACATCCAAAGACATCCATCAGACACCATGCAAAAATTAGGACTGTCGCACTCGACGAGTGCCTTTTTTCGATGCATTGTCAAATAGGGTTGCTCGTTCCTTTGGCATTCTTTGAACAATTGAAATGATTAAATTAACTTAAGTAAACCTTTTTTTGTGTCAAACATTATAACTAACACATTAGATTCAACAGGAAGTGAAGTGTCATTTTGAAAAATGCAATGGCAATTATTGTAATCGAAGTAGGCTATTAAATTCCTGTTTGGCACTACAGCTCCATATGCATATTCCCGACACGCCACTATTACAGTTCGTGCTAAAACACAGCCAAAAATTTTGACTACAATGACACATTTCCAGGAATTTCAGAGGATTGAAGGGAACGTGCGCACGGTTCGGATTCTGATATTGGGTGACCCAGGTAGAAATCTATAGACGATAGTAGATGGTGAATTAAGATAATAACTTGCAAAATATTTAGGTGTTGGAAAAACGAGTTTGACCAACTTGCTGGCCAACAGCGCGATCACGCCAACACGCTCCTCCCGAACCGTTGCAAACAGCGAATGGACCGTTCAGGCGCGTCTGCATAAGTACCCCATCATGGAACAACACCTTCCACTCACACCGGAGTGGACGTCGCCCTCCTCATCGGAGCGGTCAATACAATGGAAGCTCCAGAGAGAGCCACCGCACGTTTCGGAAGTGATTTATTTCGTGGAATTCTATGATAAGAACTCTTCAATAAGCAAGAGTCGGGTGGACAAAAACCCCTTATATAAGAATATTGACGGTATGGTATTGGTTTATAATATGGAAGACATGCAGTCGCAGGACCATTTGCACGACTGGATGTACGGCCCACTGCTCGAGATAAGCCAGCGCCGTCACAGCAATCACAAACGATTACTTAACCGTCAGCATGTGCCCATCCTTGTCGTGGGCACCATGCTGGATAGGCTGCACAAACGTCCGCTACGTCGCTATGGAACTATTGCCCACCAATTGGGGGCCGAGGAGATGTTACTCAATTGCCTGGATCCTCATTCATTAGATGAAAAAACCCGCAATCACGGCAAAGTGTGCAATTTCTTGAACAGAGCCGTAGACTTTAAGATGTTTGTGCCATAAAAGATGTATATTTAGTAGATTTTATGTTTATTTGATTGAAGCTTTTGGCTTAGATTGGAACGCCATCGGGGGCAGCTTCTTAGCCAGGGGGCCACTGCATTTGACGACCGCCGAGAAAGTGCAAATGCAAATGGTAAACCGACTGGGCTCCGTCTTGTCCATTGTTAATGACGACGCGATAGCCCTTCTTCAGGCCCAGGTCATTGGCCACCTTGCGGCCCACGAGCATGAGGTGTCCCAGCAGCTCGCTATCGCCATCTTCCGCCAGGGAGAGCTGAGCAATTGGTTTGCGTGGAATCACCAGAAAATGAGTCGGAGCCTGGGGGGCCACATCATGGAAGGCCACGCACTAGGGTTGCACATTACACATAAGCCGGCTACTATTTATCATTGCGTATGGGACTGCACTTTGTACCCAAACTTACCTTGTCATCCTCGTGTATAAATTTGCATGGTATCTCCTTGCGTAGAATCTTTCCGAAAATGGTGTCTTCGCTTGCCGAGGCAGTTTGAGCCTTGTCTACCTCGCTCGCCATTCTAGCGAAAGTTGTAGCAAAAGTGCGAGAGCTGCAAAAAGATAAAACAAATAATAATTATTTGATTGCACTTAATTGAAAGTGACATACCCGCAAGCACGAAAAAAAAACGTAAAACACGCGGACTGCCGACTTGTTGTTTATTGTGAATTGTCAATTCCAGTTGCGGTCAAATTGTTTTGGACTTTTAACAAAAACCAATTGGAATAACCTTACCTGAAAACTCGAACTAAATTCATCGAAAGTAGGACTGCCAACTCGGAGCAATCATGAACGCGCTAGGGATTTTATGTAAATTGCTCACAAATGCGCTGTGAACTAAAATTTATTAGAATTCACTTAATTACAATATCTATTAAGAATAAACTAAACAAAGTATTGGGGCTTCCGCATGGTTATGCCGTGATCGGCTAGAGCTGGAACCAAATCCTCCATGGCCAATGTATACTTGCGGTCCTTAGGGTTCTTCTTGTCCTTGCTGGAGCTGTGTCCACTGGAGTGCTGAATGTTGGTGGTGCGGGTCTTGCAGTGCTGCAGTGCATCATTGGCAATGTCCGATATGAACTTTTGCGCCGACACAGACACCAAACGCACAATCTGTGGGTCCACCTTTGCGAATCCAGCCTGCGGTCACAAAATTAGAGTCAAGAGAGAGTATTACTACCATCTTTCAACACTCACTGATTTAAGCATGTTGATCGTCAGGGCGTCTGGTATGGTGGGCGTGTAATCCTCTAGCTGTCGGAGCAGCTCATCCAAATCAGCTTCTTCGGACGAGGCTGGCCCCTCCTCAACTTCCAAGTCATCCTCCGAATCCTGGTCAGAGAGCTGCTTGGGGCTTAACGGCGTCTCCTCATCCTCAGTGTCAGTCGCTGAGGCCAGAGATTCTGCAGGTGTTACATTCAGATCCTCTCCATCGGATGCCATAATTAATTGTTTTTTGTTTTTCCTTCTTTGTTATGACGGCCGCGCTGCCAGACGATATGCAGAAACAACGCTGGTGGCGCTGCCATCCCTTGCCATTCTGGAAGATACTAAAAAATACTTTAAAAGGTGCGAAACAAACAAAGTTTCTCTGATTTTATCAGGTGCTACTGTGGTACATATGTCATTATCATTATATCATTATTAAATTTATTGAAATATATGTACCAATACACCACAAATATAGCTTCACCTCAATTCCGACTTAAAAATACTTAAAATACCAAATGTATGACCGTAAACTGTCACCCTGTTTGTCACACCGGTCACACCAATCTTTAATTGTTTGCGTTTTGTGTATTTTTCCTGAAAATAAAATGGTTGGATCCAATTTTGGCATAATCTACGGACTTACGGGCCCTTCAAACCAAGGTGCAGCTGGGCAGGGAGGAGCAGGCATGGCTGCTGGTGGAGGAGCCGCAGAACGCGATCGCCTCTCAACCGCAGCCCATCTGAGCGACTTTATGTTGCAGCTGGAAGACTACACTCCGTTGATTCCCGATGCCGTGGCAGCTCACTACCTGAATTCAAGTGGATTCCACGCGGACGACAAACGCATTGTACGTCTCATTAGCATTGCAGCCCAGAAATACATGTCGGAGATAGTGGACGATGCTCTGCAGAACTCCAAAGCACGTACGCACATGCAAACCACCAACACCCCTGGTGGATCCAAGGTAAGCGACGACATTTCCCAGTGATATTTGTTTCTAAATCGTATCCGTCTCTTTCAGGCCAAGGATCGCAAATTTACATTGACCATGGAAGATCTGCAGCCAGCATTGGCCGACTACGGCATCAATGTGCGCAAAATGGACTACAGCCAGTGATAAATTCACTCAAACTTTGTTTTACTTTTAGTCAAATGTCGAAGAACAGATTATTCTTTAATTATTAATATCCACACGCTAACATCTAATTTGTTAATACTAAAAGTTTGTTCATTGGCATGTTACGAATTTCTTGAAACTGCGAGATGTGCCGCCTGCCACTCTGAATGCCAGAAGGCCCGTGAGAATTGTGATGATATAGTTGGTCAGCAAAGTAGCCGTGTACAGCTCACTGGCATTGAGGAGGGTCAGGAGAGACACAAACAGATGGCTACCTATGACGTAGGCAATGTGCAGATAGTTGTTAGTGTCGCAAGCGTTGAAAAATATCACACTCCAGAATGTATGCAGCAGGATGATGGACAGTGCCTGAGCTGCTGAGGTGACAAAGAAGAGCTCAGTGCCACTCTTCAGGCCCATGGTTCCAGGTCCACTCTGTTTAAATATATTATATTAGCAAAACAAAGCCACTGTTTCTTATGCAAACACACTCACCATATCGGCCAGAACATTGACTAGCGCAAACATGCCGGATATGATTCCAAATCCTAGGCCGGAGACGTACGACAGAATGTGCTTGTTGTCCGTCACTCTGGTGTCCTCGGCCACGGCCTGCAAGCCCTGTTCCGTGCTGCGTAAGATGCGATAAATTATGTACCGGAAGCATTCCTGAAAGACCACTGAGAAAAACACTCCGAATGCCAGGACATCGCGCAGCGGAATTATGGCGAACCACAGCAGCGACGAGATCAACAGGGACAGCAGCCAGAAAAATGCTGCTGCAATAAGTATAATGATGCGCACTGGATCATTGGCGATGGTGAAGACGAACAGCGCGAATGGAGGGCCAAAGGCAATGAAAGTGCAGCCAAAAAACTCGGGCAGAGTCATCTTTTCCAAATCTAGTGTTTATATTTTCTCCCAGCCGTGGGTGTTTTGCACTGTGACTGGCCCTCAGAGATATACCTTAACCCGTAAATATACCGAGAAAATACGAACTTAGCCCACTTAAGCCCGCTCTACTTAAACAGTTGAACATCTTGAGTTAAAAAGGTAAAGAATATGCTTGTAGTTTGATACATTCTTTTCATCTTTAAAATTGGCAAATCTTTCCCCCGCAATGCGTTAAAACATTCAATATTTCAATATCAGTTTCAATATTCATTTTTAAAATAAAAATAACCAGTGGTCGACAATGGGTTAAGCGTTCCCTGTCCATTTTCGGAAATCAATTTGATATTCGGTTGAATATTGCCAGCTAGCTAGGAATTTCAGCACTTCAAAAATAATTTTATATAATAGACAATTCAATTTTCGACATGGGTGGCTAGCTTTGAGGGCTCTTTTTCATTTGATTATTTCTAAAATATGGTTTTAAAGAGACGCCCCAGTCATGAAAGGAAAGTGTGTATGGAATGAAACAGTTTTTCCATGAGCATCGTCACTACATACCCTATTTAAATGATATTATAAATTTGTTTTGCTAAGCTGCTTTTTTCTTGGATTTACATGTTTCTTTTTGACTATTTATACACTTGATTTGTATGCATGCAGCTAAAATATGCAAACGTTAACTCTAATGCAGTGCCAAACTTGAAACAGAGTCTTGGCGTGGCAGAGTGTTTTCCTGGTCGGCCATATTCGTTTTTCTGGTATTAAGACAAAGGCGGCCCACTTTCCTCTCTCCGCACTCAGACATCAGTTTTGTTTGGGGCGGGATTAGTCATTGCAATATTGAGTCAACGCAGCTGCACTCTCCCGCACACAACATGCAGTCCAAGTAATATTCCATACCTAGAAGCGAATCGCACAAGCACAGCTGCGGGCAATACTCTTCTGTTCCCATTTCTATGAGTGAGAAAACCTCCAATTAGCACACAACAGTGGAAGGCGAGAGCTCACCTTTTATTTCTTTCTTCAGTGCATGCTGTGATGGCCAAACGTCTGCTGCCGCATGAACCCTCGTTCGAGGGGGCTGGTCCCGATGAGCTGGACAGCCCAGCCATAGAGGCGGCGGCCCTAGACATACCCCCGCAAGTAGCAGATAAGGCTCTTCAAAAAGGTTAGACGCTTTGAAGTGTGCACGCTAAGCAGTTGGTCTGACTAACGCAGTCTTTCTCAGGTTTATGGGAGCGTCCCTCATCGACCACCGCATATGAGCCACCCAGCGAGGGAACTGTGCTGCGCTTTGACATTCTGCTCGCCCATATCATGCCCCCGGACGGGGAGGATGTTAAAATCAAGCGCTATGTGGTCTACGAGCTCACGGTGCGCCAGGACGGCACCGAAGAAGACGCACAGCCAGCAAAGGTCGAGCGCCGCTATACCGATTTTCGTGAGCTTTATCTGGGACTGAAGCGCCAGCATCCCGCAGAGATGGCGAACATGTACTTCCCCAACAAGGTGCTCATGGGCAACTTCAAGTCCGAGTTGATTGGCGAACGAAGCGCTGCCTTTGAGCAGTTCCTGACGTACGTGGCCAGCCACTCCAAGCTGCGCGATTCGGACGACTTTTTGCACTTTCTGCAGAACGACGAGCTGAGCCGGGCATGCCAGTTCTTGGACGAGCGTCGCCACGAGAACGCAATTCCCATACTCGAGAACTGTTTTCGTCTGCTGAACAAAATCTTCATGAATCGCGCTCGTCCAGTACTTTTGATACTCTGCCGCCTGGTGGCGGCTTGCACTTCTTCGCCAGTGCCCCACCACTCCGCCGAGCGCTGGGCTCTATTGGCCCTGAGTCGCTTTGAGACCGTAAGCGACATTGATCTGCTGCCGCTCTATATACCCCTGCTCCACACCTGTGCTCATTTGTGGTGAGTGCCGCAAACTATGAAACTAATTTCCCCACTCCAGACTGTACTTCCCTCTTTGCAGGTGGCAACGCGGGCAGGACCAAAAGCCCATCACTGATCGTCTAACGGAAATGTCAAAGCAGGGCATCAACACGGCACACACAGCTAGCCTCATGCAGGCTATACACAAGATCGATCCGCGCACCGAAACCTTTTAAGTCTCCCCCGTAGCAGCTAAGCGAAAAGTGCAATTAGACAACATGTGCAATTAGTATTAAGCGTAAAATGATTCTTTGAGTCGTAGTTCTCGCACGTTTGATGTCTTAGATGTCTCTTTGTTGTGTCGTCCCAAGTGGAGTTGTGCGAGTTTCAAATCTGTTTAACCACTAAAAGAAAATTGTAATTTCGTGCCTGGTGGCATCATATCAGAAAGGAGATCCTCATACAATATCATTTCTATGTAAAATTGAAAGCACAGCTTCCAGAATTATTTATTTTTGTTTGTTTTGCGGCTTCGGCCTACCGCTATCGAATTGTTTCTTGTTTTCTCTATGAATAAATACCATACTCATAAGTAAATACCATGATTAAATACCATACTGATACTGCACTTTTCTGTCATTGAACTTTGCTTGATTTATATTTTAAAGTTTGTTTTTTCTTTGTTTTCAGAGTCATTGGGGGGCTGAACTTTAATTCTAAGAGTGCACTAATTAGCAATAAACTTAATTCTAGGGTTTTGTGAGGATCTCGTGACCGCACTCGGTATTATAAAATACAAATTATAACTTAAGACGTCACACAAATGATTCGACTATAATAAGTGTAGAAGGGTAAGTGAGTTTTCAACAAATTGTTTGCTGCAGTTGTGACACTGCGCCCATCCTAATATACATACATCATTTCGAATGTACAAATCACTATCATCATTGCCATTTGCTTTCCCACAGCCCAGATCCCACTACGGATCGAAGCCGTTTCGTTTCAACGAAAGAGTCGCGTAAATGTTTTCAAAGCCTGGGAAATGGCCTTTGTGGTGTCCGCCCTGTGATGGAATAAAAGATGATATGTTAGAGCTGCTTTGGACCATTAATGGGAGATGGACTCACCTCAGGACCGTGTTGCTGAACTCATCCAATTGCTGTTGAGTGACCGTCACATAGCCGCCGCTGTTCTTCTTGGGTAAAGCCTCCAGTGCATTGGCCAGAAAGGGCTGCATTTGTTCATTGGTTACCACCTGTTTCAGCTCATTCAGCACCTCGGCGACATCGGCCAGCATGTACGAATGCAGTTGAAAGACGGAGGCCTGAATGAGGTTCATTACCAGAGCGCCACCGTGCTGGCTGGCCAGTTCAATGACCAGTGGGCGACACTCTGCATGCCTGCTGTGCGTGGTGCGTCCCCAGACGAGTAGATTGATGAAAAACTTCATCACGGAGGAGTTCGCCTCGCGGTGATCCAGGGAGCAGGCAATCAGGGCACACTGGAAGATCGGTGTGATGAGACTGCTTTGTATCAGCTGCAGCGGGCAGCAGTCGAGGTAGCGCGAGGCCAAACGAAAGAAGTCGTCCACAGTGTCGGGATTATTGCGCAGTCCATTCTCCATTTGCAGCAGACCAAAGGTGGGCTCGATGAATGCCTGCAGCATCTCCAACAAGCCGGCAATGCACTCGCTGGACTTGGCAAACTCATCGACCAGTATGGAGCCCACATAGAGGAAGCAGCTGTGATGTTGCACCGCATAGAGGACGACCATTTGCTTGATCAGCGGCTCCACCAGCTGCATGGCCTGCTTCCTGACCATCCTGATGCCATAGCGTATGAGCCGACAGGTTCGCTCCATGATGCGCAGATCAGTTTGAAATTTGCTCATCACCTGTGATATCAGCGGCCACGCATCGTTGAGTATGGCCACCGTCGGGTGCTCCACATTGTCAGGCACATCGGGATTTGTGTGCCTTATGATGGCACAGGCTCTGTCTATCCAATACACAGGATCCTCACGCTCTCCCTTCTGCACGCTGGCGCTGCTCGATTCCAGAAGTTGCGCTAAGGGTTGCAGCTGGAAGCCCACAATCTCCCTAAGCGCGGGCTGGAGCTGTTCGCGCGGCAGTCGCGTCAGGATCAACGAAATACCTTTGAGCAGTCCAATGGCCACATCGTTGTTGATCTGAAAGCTGTCCAAGCTGCGTGCAATCTCCACCAAGCCACTGATGTGGCAAACCATCTTCTGCCTGCAGGCCGCACAGATCGAGGTCAACGCTATAGCCGCCGCTGGTGCCAGGCCATTCTTCTGCTGCAGCGCATAAAGCAAGAAGTTTAGAACGGCCTCCAAGGACTCCGGATGATTCTCTATCCAATCGCAGAGCTCTCCAATCAGCAGGATGGCTGTGTAACGAACTGCAATGTGCGTTTGCTCCGACATATTTAGAATTGCTTCCACCACCTTTGGTATCACATCGTTCTCGTCACTGCAATCAAAGTTTATCAACGATTATCAAATATAATTTTAAAGAGATTTCAAATTTACGGCAATATATTTTTGGCCACATTCAGCATGACGAACAGCGCCGCCTCTGTGGACTCCCAAGTCGTTTCTGGTGCTTGCAGGATCATAAACATCTGCTTGAAGCACGCTCCAGAACCAACTATAAAAGCAACATCCTTGATAAGGTCTGAAACCTTTCGTCGAAAGTCCTGGGAATAGAAGAGAGTTAATCAGTAAACGCATAGGAAATTCCCCTTAAATGCTCACATAGAAATTATTGTTCTCCTCGATGAGCCCTTCGTGGTCACTCTCCATCTGCGAATGGCGGTAGAGCGCGCTGATCAGCCGCTCGATGTGTGGCCTGAATTTCGCAGTCAACTTGTCATCGTAGCGCTGAAACAGATCCTCGCTGAGCTTGTACCACAAATGAAAGGTAATCTCCGCCACCTCGTAGTCGAAATGACCGACACACAGCAGCACCAGATCCAAGCCTTTCATCGAGTAGTGCGGCGTCTGCTGCTCCGACAGCATCTTATAGAAGAAAGCATCGCAGAGTGAAGTGAAGATGCGACAATAGTTAATCGTTTTATCCGTGTCTTCGTGGGCTACACTAAGGTGATAGGGTGTCTCCAGCATGCACACGGCACTGAAGACTTGAGCCTCCACGGGCGCATCGTTGGCAGCGTCGCTGCCTTGGCGCGTGGTCATGCAGGAGAGCAGGGCACAAACGCACTCCGTGGCATTGTCATGGAGCTTGCCAGCCGTCTCGGGCTGGTTGAGCAGTCGAAACGCAAGCTGGGTCAGCGTGTTATTGCATATGTGGGAGATGGGAAAAACGTGGATCACCATCCAGGCACTGTAGGTCCGCAGAGCTGCGTTCCATACGCGCTGCTGGTCGAGGTCTTCTCGTTGCAGGCACATACAGAGAAATTTTAGCACACACTCAGCACTGGCATCGAGCTGTTTGTGTACCTCCTCCCTCCGGTTGGCACCCAGGCGCAGATAGCGTGAATCGATCTCCTCTGGCAGCACCTTGAGCACCTCCAGCAGTGGCCATATGGCCGCCGGATGCGGCGCCAAAGTCGTTAGCAGATCGTTTATCGGCTCCTGCCAGGTGGCCATCAGCAGGGCCAGATCAGCCACAGCCAGACTCAGCTGCGTCACAATCACAATGTCCGTCTGCGCGTCAATCTGTCCGATGTGGGTGATCAGCGAATCCCGCAGGGACTCGTGTGTGTGGGGGGGCAATTCACTGAATGAGTTCTGTATCTTGTTCCGCATCGTCTGGGCCGCAAAGTAGTTGGCATGCAGATCCCGCTTCTGGTGCAGCAACTCGTCCGCAATCGTCCACGAGTATATCTACACAGGGAAATATTAGAAAATAAATATTAAACGCATTGGACACGGACACTATCGGGTGGGTCAGGCCCGATACTCACCGACTTCTGGAACTCCTGCAGCCATTTGTTGGCCTTCTCTTGCTCCTTGGGATTGTTGCCTTGAAAGAGTGCACTGATTGCTTGATATACTACGTCCACTGAGTATGTATCCATTTCACCGGCTGCTGTAATCGGTGCTATTTCGCTATTATTATAATTTATTAGCGATGGATGGCCTGGATGCACCCATATATCGAAACAACATCGGTGGCTAGAGATGTGCGTGAGTCGTGTGTGTGTGTGTGCTGGAGTCCTAGTCTAGTGTTATAGCATCGTGTATCTAAATTTAATTTCTTAGCTAACTAATTGTAATTACTTAAACACTTTAAATGCTTTTGACTACTTGATTATTTTTCATGGAGATTTGGGCACTTTTCAACCCTTCAAGTGCCCTATTCACGTTTTGCAACACTATACCAGGCCAGATCTGTCCAGTGCAAAAAGTTCATGTTCAACTCGATTCGATTTTGCAATGGACAAGGACTCTGATAGCACTGTCACATCTTTGGACGAGAACACAGAAAACTTCTGCACCAATCCCACACGCGACGTCTTGGCGGAGGGCATCACCAACCTCTTTAAGCCCACCATCGAGAAGTTGGACGAACGCGTTGCGTCCACCATTCAGCTGCAGACAGAGCTCCGTGGCCAGCTGGACGCCCTCGCCGCTCAACTGCGTGACATCGAGAAGGCCCAGCATCAGATACCCGAGTTTGCAGACAAGGTAAAGGAATTGCTTAACGTCAAGCACAAGGTGACAATCATCAGCAACGTGCTGTGCACGAGCCAAGAGCGACTGACGGGGCTGCACAAGCTCATAGAGAAGGAGCAGCGGAGGCGCCAGGCCCTACTAGACTCAGCGCTAAGTACCAACATATCGTAGGCAAGACATGGAGACGCCACACTTCGACCATCTCACCGCGCAGGACTATGAGCACGTCTACGAGCCAGCGGAGGATTCGTTTCTGCTGCTCGACGCCCTGGAAGCCGATTTGCCCTTCTTGAATGTGCTGCAGCCACGTCTTTGCTTAGAGATAGGTTCCGGCTCGGGCATCATCATTACCGCCCTATCCAAGCAGCTGGCCAACACCTCTCTTTGCCTGGCCACGGACATAAATCTGAAGGCGTGTGACGCCACCAGACGCACTGCAAGGCACAATGAAGCTCGCGTTGACAGCCTGCGCTGCAACCTGGCCGATGTTCTTCGCAAGCGTTCGGTGGACGTGCTGCTCTTCAACCCGCCCTACGTTGTGACCAGCGACGATGAGCTGCAGTGCCAGGTGTTCGCAGGAGGCAGCAACCCATCGACGGAGCGCAATCTGGTTTACTCGTGGGCTGGCGGCAAGGATGGCCGTCGCGTGATCGACACTCTACTACAGCAACTCGATGACATTCTCTCGCCGCTTGGAGTTCTCTATTTGCTGCTGCTGCGAGAGAACAAACCAGACGAAATAATCAAACGATTGGAGGGTCTACATTTTAAGGCTGTCAAATTCATGGAGCGGCGCATTCCCGGCGAATATTTGTACATATTAAAAGTAACCAGAATGCCATCATGACTTTAGCAATAAATATTTGTTCTTGTTCTTCAAAGGTTTGGTTGTCATTTTTGAGCCACAGCCACAAAAAAAAAAGAACTTTTAAATTTAATATGGACTCGTTCTTGGACCCTCATGGTTGCTGTGTTTATTATTAACTATTAGTCCCCTCCTGGCTCTCAAATTCTTTTGGAAAGTATTATTTTTCTCATTTAGTATGGCCTTTCGGAGAGCCTTTTCGGCGCAGTCCCCGGGTGACTTTATACGCGTCGCCACTGAAATTAAAGAAATAAATAAATATATTTCAATTTATGTTTCTTACTTCAGACTTACTTTCGAGGACAGTGTAAAACTTTTTAGAACTTTTCAAGGACATCTTGTCCGCTGTTCCGTCCAAATTAAATAATAAAATCAGTCCCTCTTCCATTACGTTTTTTATACTCTGCCTCATTTTGAACCTGGGCCTTCATGGCAGTGGTTACCTCCGACAATTTGTCCGCCATTACATCGAGCTTTTTAGAAAGGATCTGAACTCTCTTTCTTCGGAAATTTCTGCATTAATTTACAATTTCTTAAGTGAGGTTTTTTAGCTATTAAATATCTATGTTAACCCACCTTTGAGAACCTTGAAAATGCGCTCTTCAGCCGAATCTGTGGTATAAAATATGCTTTTGTTAATTGCATATTCTAAATATATTTGATTACGCGGTATCGAAGGAGCGTCCTCCTGCTGAAGTGCTGAAAAATATTGCAATTTATTAACCGTTTTGTTATATGCACACAAACTTACGGTCCTCCTCTGCCTCAAACTTTATGAACAATTCTGGCGGCTGCTCATCATCCATCTCCTGGTCGTCTTGTCTAGCTGCGTTCATGGTTTTTACGGCAAACCTAGAGATATCCTTCATTTATATTCTCGTTTCTCAGCAGTCATACTATCATTTTGTATACAACAAAATCGCGCCAACGAAGTTGTGCATTTACACTACGTTCTGCCGACGTCAACTGAATCATGAGTTGGTCATGAAAATTGTCACCAGTGAAATCTGTAAGTGCAAGATAAACACCTAAAGATACCGTATTTAAATGTATGCACAAAATATAAACTTTGTTTCGCTTACCAAGTTACAAGAAATATTTACACTAGACTGAAAATATGCACAAAACACAACACAAGTGAGATGCAGCGATAAGTTAGTGTTGGTAGCCGTCGCCGAAAATTCAATCGAACAGCTGTGGAATGTTTTGGCGCGATTAACTTATATTGCTTTTTCTGTTTGGTGTATAAAAAACAATATAACTTAAAAGAAAGGAAAGGAACAGCAGTTGCAGAAACATTAACTAAACTTACAAAAAGGTACTATTCAAGTCTTCCTATTTTTACCTCATTTGTCGTGTGTAACTTGAGAATTCGGTTCAGCAGTGGCAGATCAAAGCGGCGAGAGCAGCTTTTTTGTTTATAACAAAAAATCATAGCAAACCTAAACTGGCAGCTAGTTCTATGTTTATTCATTCCACAGCTAAAGTCAAGTTAAATTGAAAACTTAAACGTTTAATCTTTGATCAAGGCTTGGCCAACCGAAGACATTAACGTTTTGGCACCAAAGTAATATGATATTCATGGCATTCACATATCTTGCAGTTTCTTAAGCACGTCCTGAATTATATATACATCGTCTTCACAGTTTCTTGTTTAATCCCTAACGTCTCAGACTTAACGTTATGGAGATGTGCAGGTACCACCCGTAATTCCGGTAGGCAGGGCCTCAAAATTCGGATACTTGTGTTGTCTGCAAAGATTACAAAACTATTAAACACCAATTATGGCAAAACTTGTAATTGCTTACCTAAAATGTATTTGCGGAGGCGACTTTCAAATTCCTTGGGTGTGGGATGATCTCCGATTGAATCCGCACGCATGGCACAGAAGAAATCTTCCAGGTGGTCCTGCGACAGCCTGCTGGTTACGACGTCTTCCATGCCATACTTGTCCGCTAAATACACTCGCAAAACATCCAGCGACGAATTGCTGATTAAAATGCCCTCTTGAAAGGGCCACCGCTCGGCTTTGGTGCCTGGCTTAATGCGGGTGGTCATCCAAGCGGACATCTGCTGTAGGACACTGCACAGCACACAGCTTGAGGTGGGCACTTTTGAGTTGAAGAGCTGGAACCAGCTGTCAACCATTTCGACAAACTCTGCTGTTTCCGCCCCGTTGCTCACATGAAGTTTAAGACATAAGCAGCGCTTGATGGCAACCGCTGTGGTGTGGCACAGCAGCTTTTTGGCCAATTCAGCATTTCTCCTCTCTGGTCCGCTGAGGGTCAGGTCTTCGCGCTGCACCTTCCAAAATGATGGGTTATTCGAATGTGAGAAATGCTTCAGCGTTTCTTTAATGGCTCTGGCACCAATTAATTTCTCGCCCCACATAAACCCACAATTGAGAAAGTGAAACCTTAAGTCGCTTAAGAGGTGGGGCACATCGGCAAACACGAAAACGTTCAAGTCGGCATCGACTGGGTGCGGAAACCACGACTTCTCTGGAAGGAAAAGAAAGGAAATATCTGTACAGGAGTCACACAAATCTTCAAATGTGCGATGTCTCACCAGGAGAGATTCTTAGCGCTGACCACAACTTATAGTTCGTTGGCCCCACATCACACACCACTGCCACCACAGTGTATCCTGCAGTGTATATCTTTCGGATGAGCTCATTTAGTATTTCTGCAGTCATGGATATATTGTAATCAAAGTAGATTGGCTGCTTCCATGGAGTTTTCAAGCCCTGCACCATAGCTACTTGCACATAGTTCTCTGGTGGCGGAACAGTTCCTTTCCTGGACTTTGGTTTATGCTCAGAATCAACTCTCATCTTGTCAAAAGAGAGAACGCAAATTTTAGGCTCATCCTCCAAGCCCACAGAGTAGGACAAAAGATTGAGCACAAAATCCAATGTGCCGGCGGTTGTCTTGTAGAGCTGTAGAGCCCGAAGTCCAACTGTTTGTAGGCAGGCTTTATAGGCACTGTCTTCTGTGTTCCAGGTGGCACGATCACCATCGCTCGAAAGCTTGTTAAGCTGCGATGTTGTAAGCATTTTATCGAATGTCTTCGTCGTTGTACGAAGTTGCTGAACCTCCTCACTGAGGCGTTTGTTTTCCCCCTGCAGCTCATCTATTTCCAACTTCATTTGTAGCTTTTCCTGCACATGCACATCCTCTTGACTGCAAATTGAAGGGACATTTAAAGGCCATAGAGCCAGCAGCATCATTTCTTACTTACTCTACCAGCAGACAGTCATCCGTAGCTGTGGACACAGCTGTGGGCTTTGTACCACCGTTGGCGGCATCCAAATTTAAAGTGGGAATCGCATTAATATTCAATTTCATTGGGCCCACATATTGGCTAGAAAAATGAAGTTCGCATATGAAGAGACTTTGTTTATCCTCCAGCGGTAGACCACAATTCTCGCGCCAGACTTGACCAAAGTAAGTAAATGCTGGAGGAAATTCAAACAATCTTAATTTCGAAGCGATGAGCCTTGACTTGTAACATGTGGCCACACAGCATTGGGGTTTGCTCATTCTTTTAAAATTATATTCGTAAAAACAATGTTCAATGTTTACATCAACAGTTGACCACGGACTTATCGATAAAATATACCGCATGACCCAAAAAATATATCGAAATATACCTGCACATTTTAAAACACTTTCCTCTATGTTGCTATTCTATTTGATATTACTAGCTAGTTAGAGTTCTTAGCGCCAAAACTATAATTTTATCTAATTCATCAATACATTTTCCTCAAGATTGGCTGGTTTTCATGACTTATATTTATTGGATTGATCGCAAAAAGGTTAAAAACTAAACTAATTTTCTGAAAATACTATGCACCGCAGAAAAAACCGAGCTTAACCCAATGAACACCCCTTTAATAATGTATTGTAGATCCATTCTTTCGAAAGAATTTAGACGCCAGCATTGACATACATCTATAAGCAATCCAAGAAAATGAAAGGCATGGTTCATCGGTCGCACATGTGTATTAGGAGGGCATCAAAAAAAATGCAATGAATTATGTACCCATGAAAGGTCCCTGCTAAACAACCCCAACGCTCGCCTACCCAATTGAAACAAACTTTTTATTGACATGTGCGAAATGCCAATAGATCGATGCACAAGCATGAGTATGGTTGTTTGTTTTTACGTAATTACAATAATTTATTTCATCGTTCAAAAATTCTTAATAATCTTCTCTTTATATTTTTTAAGTGGTTCTGTTTGCCTGCCTTTCACTACTACTGGTTGTTTATTCTGGTTGATGCTCTAATTGTTCAGATCTAATGCAGTATATAATAAGTATTTACAAAAAACGCTTGATTCTTCATGGTCTGTGGTATCGGTATCAAATGGCACACATACATAGATAGGTATATGCATGTGTTTGAGTCAACTGTTGGTATGCAACTTAAGCTTAAAGCTCTTAAGTGTCTATTGCTGTAGGATCTGGGTCAGTGGGTGGGTGTCGGTTGCATTAGGGGATATTGGTTAGGTAGGGGAAGCTAGGTTTATTCGGTTTATACTTTGATTGACCAACGGTGCGCACTTCTTTGTCAAATATCAGTCGTTATATTTTCAGAACTTGGTATTATTGCATGTTTGTATATATTGTATTTTGGGTAGGCGCTGGCCCTACCCTCACTAATAAATATACGTACGAGTATGTAACATTAAAAGTTTATTCTTGTCCATATTTCGATTCTCGAGTTTTGTTTATACAATTTACAAATGAATTGGGTTTATCGTTATTCGATTTTCTCAACAAAATGTAAACCCTCGTGTTTAATACTGACATAAATACTTAAGATTAGTCATGGCTTAGGGCTAAATGCTGAAACGAAACAAAAGAAGCCTCTCCGAGTCTCCCCCGTTCTGGGGGGACCTCGAACAGATCTCAATCTTCCCGTTGCTCGAACGCGCCCTAGATCAAAAACCTCCCACACAGTCGAGTCAAGTCGAGTCGAGTCACTCCCC